GCGCCACCTACGTGAGGGCAAGGCGGGGGGGGCTTTCTGGGGGGCGCTCGGAGCCGACCGGTCCCGCCCACGCTCACCTGTCCTTCCCGGGGGGCCCTCCGGCCCAGCAGCAGTGAGACAGCCCCTTCTCCGGGGGCCACTCCAGTGCGGCGACCCGCTCCGACCGGTCCCGCCCACGCTCACCTGTCCTTCCCGGGGGGCCCTCCGGCCCAGCAGCAGTGAGACAGCCCCTTCTCCGGGGGCCACTCCAGTGCGGCGACCCTCTCTTGGGGGGCCCCTCTCCCCCTCAGGGACACACCTCTCAGGGCCTCCAGACGCCTGTCTCCACTGTGAGCCCCTCCTTCGGGAGGGTCACCTCCCTCTAGACACCCGGGGCCACAGCCAGCCCCCTAGGGCCCTGAGCTCCGTGTTCCTCCCAGCATCTCCTGGGTCACTACACTTGGCCAGTGGAAAGTCGTGGAGTCTCTCGCTGAAGGCGGGTAGGTTCGATGATGTGTCTGTGTCACCGTTGGTGGGAAAGGCAGAGAAGATCCATGACACATCGGTGACCCCGGGGCCATTGGTGACGGAGATGGCTCCGGTGAAAAGGCTGGGGGAGGACTAGGGCTGATTGGCCTGTGTGATTTTGCCCGTGGCTGCCTCGGTGCCGGGGAGGTACGTGGTGATCGCAATAAGGAAGAGGCTGGTGCCGTGTCTTGCGGTGCCGATGTCGGTGTGGAAGGTGAGGACGGTGCCAGTGACTGCGGCAACCTGCAACACTTCCGGTGCAGAGCGCCACGGGTCCTTTTCTGTTGACGGCACCGACTGAGCCCAATTCCAGCTCCTGGGGTCCAAAGACACCGTTGGCCATGTCAACACGGTGCTGGAGGCACCGGCTCATCTGTGGCCTTAGCTCCACTCACCGATACTGGTGGCCGGGAGCGCGCTGGCAAAGCGTTCATTCGGGGCAGACCCCATCACTGGGGAAGAAGCCCTGCGTTTTGAAGCCTTCTTAGGCTCTGGCACTGTTTCCTCCGCTGCAGGATCAGGGACTGCACTGCCTTGTGGAAGAGCAGCCTGTCGTGACGGGCTCTCGGGGAGCTTGCAGCACTGACGGCATTTCTGAGGCACATGGGCCTCACCATGGCAGTGGATGCTTCCTGAACGCCCATCCACGACTGACATCGCTTCTCAGCAGGAGGCACATTGTAGGAGTGACCTGGCTCCCGGGGGTGGACAAGCGCCCCCAGGCCTGTGCAAAGCCGGCTCCCCGCTCTGAGCCAGCCCAGCACGGGGGGTGGACAAGCGCCCCCAGGCCTGTGCAAAGCCGGCTCCCCGCTCTGAGCCAGCCCAGCACGGGGGGTGGACAAGCGGCCCCGGGCCTGTGCAAAGCCAGCTCCCCGCTCTGAGCCAGCCCAGCACGGGGGGTGGACAAGCGGCCCCGGGCCTGTGCAAAGCCAGCTCCCCGCTCTGAGCCAGCCCAGCACGGGGGGTGGACAAGCGGCCCCGGGCCTGTGCAAAGCCAGCTCCCCGCTCTGAGCCAGCCCAGCACGGGGGGTGGACAAGCGGCCCCGGGCCTGTGCAAAGCCAGCTCCCCGCTCTGAGCCAGCCCAGCACGGGGGGTGGACAAGCGGCCCCGGGCCTGTGCAAAGCCAGCTCCCCGCTCTGAGCCAGCCCAGCACGGGGGGTGGACAAGCGGCCCCGGGCCTGTGCAAAGCCAGCTCCCCGCTCTGAGCCAGCCCAGCACGGGGGGTGGACAAGCGGCCCCGGGCCTGTGCAAAGCCAGCTCCCCGCTCTGAGCCAGCCCAGCACGGGGGGTGGACAAGCGGCCCCGGGCCTGTGCAAAGCCAGCTCCCCGCTCTGAGCCAGCCCAGCACGGGGGGTGGACAAGCGGCCCCGGGCCTGTGCAAAGCCAGCTCCCCGCTCTGAGCCAGCCCAGCACGGGGGGTGGACAAGCGGCCCCGGGCCTGTGCAAAGCCAGCTCCCCGCTCTGAGCCAGCCCAGCACGGGGGGTGGACAAGCGGCCCCGGGCCTGTGCAAAGCCAGCTCCCCGCTCTGAGCCACCCCTGCTGCAGAGGGCAGGGGCACAGGTGGCAGGGGAAGGGCTGAGTGGCACAAGGAGGCAGATGGAAGCCTCGGGGCATGCAGGGGTTGGGAGCGAGGCTGTGCCGGGTGCAGCTGGCACCTGCTGGGCAGGGGGGCCCCTCCTTTGGACTGAGTGAGCCCCGCAGCTGCCCTGTCACTGCCACCTCCTTTGTTTTACAATAGAATCATAGAATAATAGGACTGGAAGGGACCTCGAGAGGTCATCGAGTCCAGCCCCCCGCCCTCAAGGCAGGACCAAGCTCCGTCTACACCATCCCTGACAGATGTCTATCTAACCTGTTCTTAAATATCTCCAGAGAGGGAGATTCCACCACCTCCCTTGGCAATTTATTCCAATATTTGACCACCCTGACAGTTAGGAATTTTTTCCTAATGTCCAATCTAAACCTCCCCTGCTGCACTTTAAGCCCATTACTCCTTGTCCTGTCCTCAGAAACCAAGAGGAGCAAATTTTCTCCTTCCTCCTTGTGACACCCTTTTAGATATTTGAAAACCGCTATCATGTCCCCCCTTCATCTTCTTTTTTCCAAACTAAACAAGCCCAGTTCATGAAGCCTGGCTTCATAGGTCATGTTCTCTAGACCTTTAATCATTCTTGTCGCTCTTCTCTGGACCCTTTCCAATTTCTCCACATCTTTCTTGAAATGTGGCGCCCAGAACTGGACACAGTACTCCAGCTGAGGCCTAACTAGTGCAGAGTAGAGCGGCAGAATGACTTCACGAGTTTTGCTTACAACACACCTGTTGATACAACCTAGAATCATATTTGCTTTTTTTGCAACAGCATCACACTGTTGACTCGTATTCAACTTGTGGTCCACTATGACCCCTAGATCCCTTTCCGCCATGCTCCTTCCTAGACAGTCGCTTCCCATCTTGTATGTATGGAACTGACTGTTCCTTCCTAAGTGGAGCACTTTGCATTTCTCTTTATTAAACCTCATCCTGTTTACCTCTGACCATTTCTCTAACTTGCTAAGGTCATTTTGAATTATGTCCCTATCCTCCAAAGAAGTCGCAACCCCACCCAGTTTGGTATCATCTGCAAACTTAATAAGCGTACTCTCTATCCCAATATCTACATCATTGATGAAGATATTGAACAGTACGGGTCCCAAAACAGACCCTTGAGGAACTCCACTTGTTATCCCTTTCCAGCAGGATTTAGAACCGTTAACAACAACTCTCTGACTACGGTTATCCAGCCAGTTATGCACCCACCTTATCGTGGCCCTATCTAAGTTATATTTGCCTAGTTTATCAATAAGAATATCATGCGAGACCGTATCAAATGCCTTACTAAAGTCTAGGTATATGACATCCACCGCTTCTCCCTTATCCACAAGGCTCGTTATCCTATCAAAGAAATAAACGGAAGCGGGAGCCCGCTGGGTGTCGGGTCTGGTCTGTGGGGCGCTCGGACTGCACTGGGGAAGGGGGGCTGCTCACTGCACACAGGCCCTGGCTCTGCCCAAGCCATTTATTAGTGAGCGAGGGGGTAGCTGATCTCTGCTGTTCAAAGCTGCTGGGGGTGAGGGGCTCACAGGGTCCCCCTCCTTCCTCTGCCCCAGCTGTCCTGGCCCAGGGGCAGGGCACCTTTCTCGCCTGCTGCCTGGGGCCGAGCTGTCCTCTTCTGTCGTGCTGCCCTAGAGGGGGAGCTGGGGTTAGTGGGACTCGGGGAAGGACCTTGGTGCTGGGTGAGGGGGACAGGCTCCCTCCCTCACCTGGCCCAGCCCCTACCTGCTCCACTCCCTGCCTGCTGGCGGGCTGGCCCCAGCATCTCCTGTGGCCTTCAGCTCCTCTCTGATCTCCTGCAGCAAGTCCAGCCTGGAGAAGAGGGAGTGAGTCAGAGGGGGTGCTCCTGCAGCCGCTGCGGGCCCTGTGTGGGGCAGAGGCCCAGCCAGACCCCCATAGCTGCTGTGTGGGCAAGGGGGTGCTGCTGGAGGGCGAGTGGGGTAGCCTGGGCTTGCACTGGGGTACTGGCACCGAAACGTCCAGAGGGAACATTGCCAGGGCCCTCAGGAGGGCTGCTGGGCGTGGCGCCTGGCTGGGTCATGGCCACGCCGGGCAGCCAGCGGCACTGCCCTGTAACGCCTCAGGAAGAGGCTGAGAGAGCTGGCCTCCCCCTCCACCCCAGGGCTGGAGCCACTCACGACTGCAGGGTGCCAAGGGGGCTGTCCAGGGCAGGCTCCTGGGCCAGGTCAGGGTGTCCCAGGCCCTGCAGACAAACAGAGCGGAGAGTCGGTAATGGGGTCAGATCTGAGGGGCATCCCTGGGGGTCCTCTTACCTGCAGCTGCTCCTGCATTCGTACCCAGGCAGCGAAATCGATGAGGGTCTGTAGGGGATGGCTCCTGGCCCCTGTGCTGGCCCCACTGCCCTCACCTGGGGAGGAGGAGACCAGGTGAGCGTGGAACTCTGCCCGGGCCGCTGAGCGCTGCAGGAGTCAGGAGAGGCAGGGCAGGCTGAGCTGCAGCTGGGTGGGTCCCAGTCTGCGGAGCCCACAGGCTCCACTCTAGGGGGACTCACCTGCTGGGGCCACAGGGGGCTGGCTGGACCGTGGCAGGGCCCTCAGGCTGCAGCAGGACTGTGCGGTCCGGGGATGGCCCACCCCAGGGCTGTGGCGGTGGCGCCGTGCTGGGCGCGCTCCCTGGAGGCTGACAAGGTCCTGCAGGGCCTGGATGCCAGAGGCAAAGCGGCGCTCCAGTGTTTCCAGGGAGGCTTGGGCCTGGTCCAGCAGGCAGGCAGAGGCCTGGAGGCTAGTCACGCAGGGCAGGGCCAGCTCCTAGGGGACACAGCTGAGGTTAGATGCCTGGCAGACGAATATTTACCCTGAGCTCTGCTGGGTCGCGTGGGAGCACCCAAGCACACCGCTTCTCCCTGCCTGTTGGTAAGCAGCCCCAGGGCCGGCCTGTGCGCTGCTTCTCCTGCAGCTCAGCGCACACCATGGCCTAGGCGGAGGCTCCCTGGGGTACCAGCCCGCCCATGGGCAGCACCAAGGCTGCTGGGGGCTGGAGTGGGAAGTCCCGGCATGTGTGGCTAGGCTCTGGGGGCCGACAAAAGAAGTTACAGTTCAGTCTGTTCCGTCAGCCAGCCCAGCCCAGTCTGGAACGCCTGCCGCTCTGAGCGGAGTCAGGGGCTGTCTCTCTCAGGGACCCTGCCACCTGCCCACAGGCAACAGATCCCTGCCACGAGCTGGGACTGCTCCGCTCCAGAGCTGAGCTCCGGGAACGCCAAGGGCTCCAGCACGACCCACCTGGGTTCTGCTCACCCTCGGGTGCCCCAGTTTCTTCCTGCCGTTCACTCCCAGGGGCACTTGGGAGTGGTGCACCGAAGGGACGAGCGCCTCCCAACAGGACTCATTCTGCAAGGTGGGCTTCACATCCGTGGCCAGGCACCGGGCAGTCTCCCGGCTCTGCTTTCACTTCTTACATATTGACGATCACCCTCAGGGTCGCTTCTAGCACATGTGGCCGAGGGAGCTGGGCTTCCCTCCCGTGCATTAGACAGCCAGAGCAGAATCCAGGACACAACCGGGAACACATCGGCTCTCCTTGTGCGACAGTGAACCACTCTGGCTGTGGGGCCGCTTGTGCAGGACCCCGGGCCCGGGGTCTCTTTGCCACGATTACTCGTAGTAGTTCCTGTCACATTACTGGATTTTAAAGGGAGCAGCCAGATGACGGCTGCACCCAGGGGGCGGGGGGCCATTTCCCCCAAAGTCTATAAAAAGGGGGCCATGTGCGGTGTCAATGGAAGCTTATCTTCATTTATGGAATTGTATAATATGTGTATGTGGACTTGGAAACATGGACTCTGGATGGATGCTGGAGAATTCTCTCTGCTTGAGCACTGGGCGAGGAATGCTCAGCCAATGGACGTGCTAACGAGCGAGGCTCTGGGGACAATGGATCTCTAAATGCCAAAGACACACCTGGCCACTGACCATGTGACCCTCCCCAGCTTAGGAGAGACCAGGGAGGGATATAAAATGCCATCTGGCAGACTCCATTTGGGTCTTCAGTTTTGCTCTGGATCCCAGATGCAGCCTTGCAGGGAACCATGAGCTGGAAAGAACTGTGGACCCATCCTGACATGGGGTATACACCAAAGACTTTTAAGCCAGCAGTTATAACATCTCTGCTAGAGCCTGCATCGAGAACTGGTGATTCAATGCATGTCATGTATTATCCTTTAACAACCTTACACTCACACTTTTCTTTCTTTTACTAATAAATCTTTAGATTGTAGATTCTAAAGGATCGGTTCAGCGTGCTCTTGTGGGTAAGATCCAGAGTGTAAATTGACCCGGGAACGGTGGCTGGTTTCTTGGGATCAGAAAGACCCGTTCGGGGTAGGTGAGAGTGGGCTCTAAAACCCCTCGTCTGTGTGTTAGGCCCGGGGCTGTTAGGGGCACAGATAGGGCTGGGGTGTCAGAGGGGTTTTGCTCATAAAGCTTCTTGCTGGGCAGATCAGCAGCTGAAGCGCTCGGTGCGACTGGTTTGTGGCCTATTTGGGAAGGTCCCTAGTCTGGGGCTATAGAGAGCCCCGAGTTTGAGCAATTCGCCCTGAGCAGACGCCCTCAGCCGTGCCCAGACCCGGCCCATCACAGTTCATTGATATATTTAGTTGCAAAGTCACCCCCAACCACAGTGAATTCTGGAAGGCCAACAGGCTCTTGGCTACGGGGGCAATGCACTGATCTTTCACAGGGCTCTGAGTGAAATAATCTGTTCCCGTTCATATGTTCGTGTTCCGTTTGCTTTCAGGCTTTGGGGACAAATTCCATACACACGAGATCCAGCAGTCCCTTACTTTGGCTGTTACTGGGCAGAGAGTTTGGGGGATGTTTTCCAAGCTCAACTTTGGCAGAATTCTTTCCAAGCGAGCCAACAGAACCCTCTTCTGCCCCTCTCAAATGTCCAGATTACCCAAAACTGTCCTCCTGCAGCGAGTCCTCCGTTCTCCTGGCAACATCAGCTGATAATGGTGATGAAGCAAGTCCCTCATCTCCCAACAGAACAGGCTTCCTTGCGGTGCCACCCGGTTCCACGCTCTCTGCACGGTATGTACAGGTCTCCCCGTCTTTCAGCAGTCAGGGTCACTTTCAGGCTAGGGTCTCTGCAAACATTCCTCCCTTGCAATCTGGGTAACTATGTAAGACCTAGCGGGTGACATTTGTATACACCTCAGGCACAGCACTGGGGAAGGGGCTTCATGCAGTTGAGTGATGCTACTTTGCATCTGACTAGGGCCAACAGGCAGGCATTTGGTCATTGTGACCGTCGCGGGGTGCGATCACCCTCTCCCGCCCTGGGAGAGGGGATCAGCGGACCCCGTCGTCAGCCTTCAGCCTGTTGGTCCTGGAGTCTAGTTCAGTTTAACACCTTTGGGCGCGATCACCCCGCTCAGCCGAGTCCGGGGGACCTGCAGCTACTTTGCATCTGACTAGGGCCAACAGGCAGGCATTTGGTCATTGTGACCGTCGCGGGGTGCGATCACCCTCTCCCGCCCTGGGAGAGGGGATCAGCGGACCCCGTCGTCAGCCTTCAGCCTGTTGGTCCTGGAGTCTAGTTCAGTTTAACACCTTTGGGCGCGATCACCCCGCTCAGCCGAGTCCGGGGGACCTGCAGGCCCCGAGGTGGGCTGTCTCCTTAAGCGGGGTTCTTCCCCGCGGTCGCTGCCGGTGGCTCTGGCTCCCGGCGGGGGGGGGGCCGCCCGGCACCCGCCACCGAC